AAAAAAGATACATACTTCTGACAACCTTCAGATTTGCTCATTTACCAACCAGATATTATCGAGAGTTGATTATATATCTACATATATCAATGAATACTCATGGACAACAAAAAGGATCACATTCTCAAAATTTTCCTCTTAGGACCTTTTATCTCTTGAGTTAATACGACTAGCAGGATTACTGCTTATATATCCATGAATGGGTAACAGATACATACACTCCAATTATAACTCAGATAATGAGCTTAAATTTTAACACCATAAATCTGCTAGCTCTATAAAAGCGTCCTCTGGCAACTGACTAATAATTCTGCAATTTAGGCTAATAATAAGAGCGAGCTATTGATAACAATTCACTCTGCCTACCAATGTGAAATGTGATCAAGCCCTTAGCCAGTCATTGGCAACAAAGCATTCCAAACCACTCTCTCCAGTCCATGATATTTGCTTCTACTGCAAAGATCCCTGACTCTTGCTGCTTTTAAGTATTGATTCCAAATCAGACCTCCACAGTGCAAAGAAATCAAAGTAGACATGGTTTTCATCATTGTTTTTCCCCATGAAGAACTGGTTTTAGGTGGGAACAGCCTTTTGGCTCCAGTAGGTATCAAACGCCACCAACACTGCCAAAGCTACACACATCCAGGTCCCATCATTTTGAGGAAGAAAAACAGAGTGGGGGTTGTGGCTGTAAGAAATGGGAACATCCGTGACCATATGGTTTTTCAGATTATAGTCACCTAATTCAGTCATTTCAGGCTCTGGCAACACACATAATTTCCCCACATAGCAGAACTACCAGCGACTGAGATGGGCAGGTGGGGTTAATAACAAGATAACTAGTAGGAATAGTAAATCTTACAGTGAATTTCCTCTGCTTTAGTCAACAGAAGATTACATCATATCATTCTTCATATATTTGGAGAGAAATAACACAAATTATATGTATTTAAATTATTTTTTGACAAGTCCAGAGAGTCTTTCATTGGATTTAACAGTTGACAAGTGCTATGAAAAGAACTGTACTCCCACTCAAGTCTTTGTGTGAATAACATGTTTCTTCTTCTTGGCTTAAAACACTATAGCTGTACATTTAGAATAAATGTTTTTATTTTTCTACATTTTCTAATACATT